CCCTACATGTAGCGATGAGAGGTGTCTAGCCATTGCTCCACTTCATCCTATTCTCAGTACACTGTGAAGTTTTCTTCACTATGAACCTTTCTGTTTTTTCACTACTAGAAATGAATTTTGTGCCAATTGAAAAGTCCTGAATTCTCCTCCATGAAGAAGAAAGACCTTTATTTCTGCCCAAGACCCATGATAAACAGCTCAACAACCCAGACCCTCTACAGAACCCCCATCTTGACCAAAAGAACTCTTCCAGAAGGAAAATAATAATTTGGTTCTGTCCTGTTCGCACCTGGCTGAGTTTGAAATACCAACAGGGAGATCCTACCATCGCTGCTGCAGGCTCTCAACATCACCACCTGCCTGCTGGGAGCTGAGCAGGTCACCAACACTTGTTCTAGATCACTACATAACACAAAAATAAATCACTGCATGTGTCACACACCACTGGCAACAAAGGTGGGCTTCTCCCAGGACTGATGTTCCCATGGCAAGGGTCAGCTCACAAAGCTGTCCCAGACAGGAGCTGCCTCTCTCAATGACAGCAAGAGACAGGGAGATGGACAGACTCCCATGGGTGGAATGAGAAATGAGAACAGTCCGTGACACCTGGTGCTCTAATGCTTTCAGGGAAAGACGGGTGGACTTGTCCGTTTAATTCTTACTCACTGATTCACAAAGGATTACAATACTCCTTCTCACAAGCTGTTCTGCAGGTGGACATAGCTCAGTAGTCTTCTTACACACATTCAAGCAGGGCCAAATCCTGGAAGGTGCTAAGTACCTCTGAGAAGCAATGGGCAGTCAGCTTCCCCCCAGATAAGCATAACTCCTTTCAAATCTTAAGTACAACATAGAAACTTTTTCTTACATCTAGAAGTTTCTGCTCACAAATCTCTACTGTCTGTTCCTGAACTCTGGCCAGCCTGCAGGGCTTCAGATGTACTCCAGCACTTGGTGCAATCCTGCCAGTGGAGCCCTGAATACACCTGAATCTGCACAGGTTCAATACCCAGTTCAAGAGGATAATTGTGTATTTAATCCTCCTCTAGGAATTACCAGACTTTGAAACTACAGCAGAAAGGCTGAGAGTGTATCCATGTATGATCCTACTTGACATTTACTTTAATTTTACTGCAAATAGTTTGGAATAACAGAACACACCAGGAGTGTCTTGCTCCATGGAGCATTTCAACACAGTACTTTTCTTTGCTTCCTCCACAGGATGATCCAGCAATCCACCAAAGTCAACAGGAGGAATAGTATATTTGGAGTGATTTCCCCACACATGGCATTCAGGCACTATCCCCAGAAACCCAGCCTGAAGAGGAGAAGCCTCCTCAGTCAGATGGCGCAGAAGCCCAGTGCAGGAAGTCAGATACCCAGCCTGGTCTCTGAGCTGTGCAGGGATGGATGGCAACCCAGGAGATCTACTTGCTTGCCTTGGCCACAGCCACTGTCTGACCACCAGCTGTCTTACCTCTTTCAGGTTGTGTTCTTTTCTCCCCCTATAATCAGGGCATCCCAAAGGCCTTTGCATGGGGGAAGGAAGAAGTGGCTGACTAGGAAATGGCTCTTCTGTCTAAAAAAAGGGAACTCTCTAAGGCATCAGTTGTCAACACTTCCACATCTGAATGCCCAGTCTGTGGCTCTTTCAACAGCAGATGTTGTTTGGTAGCACCCCAGGTTGGGGATCCAAGGTCAGCAACAAGTTTTGGCTGAGATCCTCAAGGAAGATGGTTTCTTCCAAACTCACTGTATCCCAGCAGAAACAAAATCACTGTTTTTATGGCATCAAAACCAGCTCTACTCTGTGCAATGCTTTCAGAACCATCTGCAAGCATCACCAGGGTTAGATCAGACAACATACAGTGCACGTGTTGCCTTTCAAAGGTGACAGATGAAGGCCAGCTGTGAAAGAATTACTATTAATCCAAGTGAGGGTGGGAGAAAAAGCACTCAAGAAAGGATAAGCTACAGAAGAGTCCCAAGACAGCATCTTTCACCGTGACATTACTGACAGCTGGAAAATACAAACGTCATGCAGTAGAAGGCCTACCAGCTGTGGGTTGGTGCCATTGGAAAGAATATCCAATAAATCTGCAGAAGAAATGAAGTAAAATCTGGGAAAGGCCAACCTCTTCATGTCCAAATATTCAGCCAAAGCCTTCTCACACAGACACAACCTGGGGAGACAAAGCATATAAGCAGAGCCCAGGACAGGTGGGTAAATACCCTTTCATGTTTCATGCTACCGTTGGGTTATCAAGCAGCTTCTCCCCTACCATGTGGAAATGCCAGACATGAGCTGAGTCTGTAGGCTGGTCTTCTACAGCATTTTCCAAACAGATCAACATAGCACATAGTAACTCATAGATCACTCTCTACTCCCAAGGATCAAACAGCCTAAGAGTCAGAGAAGCCTCATAAAAAAACAGAAACACAGGTGGAAAAGGAGGCTAGAAAGGATTTGCAGTCTAACCTACTGTTTTAGACAAGCTCGTAACTGCCACAGGTGATTTCACACTGGGATGAAAGTTTCCATAGCTGCTTTTATTCTAATGAGCCACATTTTAAAGTCTGATTCAGACCTACTCAGCTTTTTGTGTTTGCAAAGCCTGAAAGGAAACTTGTTTGCTCCGATCTAAAATGAATCTTTTGGTGTTTACATGCTAAACTGCTGCTGAGCTTACAAAGTTCATAAATAACATGCAGCTAGTCCTCTGTGAGGAACATTGGCTTTATCTGATTAAAAAATACAATAAATCTTTATTTTAAATGGATAGTTATTACTGACACAACAGCTATCATATTAACTTTTAAATGTGTTCCAGGTAGACGAGCTCATATGTCAAGCGAGAAGTGTATCCGTCTCAGGACACTAAGGTATTTCTCAGAGAGCCATGTTATACCTTGTCAAGGGTATACACACAGAGATAATTTCATAAATTAAAGAACATGGGCTCAGCTCTGCTGCAGATATCCCTGCTTGGACTGCTAAATAGATATTTAAGATATTGTACTTGGGGTGGCAGTGAGGCCACATGTTATTAAAACCAGCTGAATACCTAGCTTTGTATGTGTGCAAATCAATATTCAGGATTAGAATTTGCACATACACAAAGCCAGACTCCACTTCAGGGTGATGGATCACAAATAAAAAGACTCGAGAAAGATCAGAAATGCTGCAACTTGTGAATGCAAGGAATGCACAGTCTAGGAAGAAAGCCTTGGAGCACAGGTTAAACAAACTTATTAGAGTTGATCCCAGGCTCTGCCAAAATCCTGGGATTTTTTAATTTCTACCTACCTACTCTGAATGTCCTCCAGTTGCTGGGACAGATGTGGTTTATTGGTGGCCTCAACCACATTTGGGGTTTTCTGAGCTTCATAGGCCAGTTCTTTAAAATCCATGTCGATCCCTTCAAAGCGTTCAGAGTCCTAAAAAACAATACAAGGAACACATTCATGGTAAAACGCTAATTTTTATGCTAAAACATCGCATCCTCTCAGTGCTGTCTTTGGGTTGAGGGGAAAAACTCTCTATGGAGAGCCTCCTGTCCAGTGCAGAGGGACCTCTCCACCATTTCAGAAGGGGTCTCGAAGCCATGTGCCCAAAACACATCTCCAACTGGGCACTCACCGGTTTCTCACTGTATCCCAAAGGGGTCATGGATAAAGTGATACATGCAGAAGCCAATGCCTAGGACAACCATTTTCATGGGATTGAATTCCCTTTTGAATGTCTCCCTGAGGCTCTTCCTCTCCTGTGTCCAAGATGAAATACCAAGTTTCCCTGGCCATAGCAGCAGGAGATGCTCCCGTATGGAGGAAAGGGTACCGACTCCATGTGAATTCACTCTTCCCCTCTTGTTACAATGTAGGACTCCCAGTGTCCATCCCTGAAATGGGTATGAAGACATTTGCAGAGGAGAGCCCTTCCTTGCCTTGAGTAAGACCATGGAAACCCCATTTTGGCAGCAAAGGAGCATGCTGACAATTATGCTCTGCACCTAACAGGGACCCTGAATTTCTGGAGTTAACAGTAAAGAATAAATAAAGCTATGTTCAAAATGTCTCTGCTCCTCCCTCCTTCCCAAGCCAGGCCTCCTGAGTGAGCCAGGACACTGAATAAAAGTGCTCCAAGCTTTCCTGGTAACAATTCCACATTAAACTGTGTTCAGCCCCGATAGCAAGGCTCTGGAGGACCCAGCCTCTGCTGGAGAGTTGAGCCCTCCCTGCACACAAGCCATGTAGCTGCTTCAGATGTGCATCCCATGCCCTGCCGGCACATTCTCCCATAGCCCTAGATGCATCCTGAGGAGGTTCAGCCTCCAGAGACTTTGAGCTTCATCTTTTCTTCTACAGAAGGGAAGAGGCTGCTGATTCGTGCCACCTGCCAGATGGGTATTGAGATGCAGACGTCTGCCCAGTAGGATGCAGATTTAAATCATTATGTGATTTCATACATGCCATTAGATAGCTGTTGGATATTAACAGCTTGCTGGCACATGCTACAGCCTTCAGGCCACTGGTTATTAGCACCTGTATATATTGCCCAGCAAGTGAGGTGTGCCCAGCAACTCTCCAAAGCAGAGGGAGAAACAGCCCAAGCAGACCAGGGTGAAGGGATGGAGACAGGGTGGCGTATCATGCAGGTGTCACTGGGCTGTGCACACCCTCTCTTGGGTGTCAGTCCCCTGGCAGTGCTGTCAGTGACACTGCACGTGGACAGGGACAGCAGTGACACAGTCAACTGCAGTTCACTTGTGAGTGAAAGGCAGGTTCCTCAGCTTGGCTGCGAATGGTCCAGCAGGGCCAGGAAACAGCTTGGAAGATTTTTTTAAAAATCAAGGGAATCTGGAATAAGTCTGTAAGCTGGACTCAAAGACACTCCCAAGGAGGTCACCAATGACATCTTTGTTCCATTTTCCAAAGCAGGACTAGGAGAACATCTGCTCTCCCCCTGCAGCAGCACTTAAGGCAGTGAAGGGGACGCTGCCAAAGCTGCCTGGTCCAGCCCTGGTTTGACTATTTGCAATGTCTGAGTAATTATCCCAGTCCTCTCCCCCCCGAGGAAAGAGAGAACATGCCTCCAGCACTGAAGGAAGCTAGCAGCCTCACCCTCAGTTTCCAGGAACTTTGTATTTGCTATGCAGCGGTGGAGGGGAGAAAATCAGCTTCTCAGCATGGCTCAAGCACAACCTACAGTACAAAAACATCCTGGGTCAGCACTAGGGAAACTACTATAGCACCAAGGGAGCCTCCAAAAAATCAAGGCAGCAGGAGAAAAGCCCTGCTTTGGGGAACTTGGCATTATTGATAACCCTATTTCATACAATGGAGACTCTTTTTCAACAATTTCCAAACAGGAAAAATAGGATTTGGGGTTCCATACCTCGGGAAGCTGTACCCGTATATCTTCTGAGCCTATGAATATGCTCTCCAAGTGAGACCATGTATGCTGCACTTCGAACCAGAGAGAAATGACAGAGTCTGCGGTGGACAGCTTCCTCTGCCATGCGGACACTTCTTCCAAGAAGAAAGCAATATATTTGGATGTCATTAAATTCTGCAGCTGCACCTGGTTGTCTTCTAAAGTTTCAATGAGTTCCTCATCTGACTTCAGCAATGGGATGTTCGTCCGGGGATGAGGCTCATACTGAAACTCCATGGTGCTCCAAGTCATTTTTAGCTCCTTCAGGACTTTCTCCATACTCATTTCTCGCACTGCTTTGTCCACAATGCCATGAACTTCATCCTCAAAGTTATGCAGATTGAGTTTCAGGAGGTCAGCCAGTGTGGTGTCTGAGTCCATCACAAACTTCACACCCGTCATCTGCATCAGTTGATTCCAGTGTCTTTCTCTAATGGCGGGATTCTGAAGTTTTGCCACAGCTTTCAGGGCTGTCAGCATGTTCTTCACCTTGCTGTCCATCCCAGTGAAAGCATCCCATGCCCTCATTTCCTTATCCAAATTCCGAATCTCTCTTGCAAACTTTTTACACTCCAGATCCATGTTTTCCACATTAATATCCACCCATGCAGTCATTTGCCAGTCATCAAGGCTTGTGTTCACAAGGGAGATCATATCCCAGAGCTCTTTGAGAAGACATAGCTCCTTTCTGCATTGCTTCAGTTGTTTATAATCTGGCACCATGACTTCAAACAGACCGGCTGATTCATAAATCGAGGTCATGGCTGACTCCATTTGTTTAATCTCAATGTGCTTTGCATCCAGCAGTTGATAAGGTTTTTCAGTGTCATATCTAGAAAGAAATGTTTATTCTTCATCAGTGATATTCTAGCAACTTCTAAAGAAAACATAAATCAAACAGTGACTCTAAGAGACAAAGCAGAGATGAAACACATTGATGGTACAGCCACATGGCACTACTGACACCACCTTAAAGTGATATTGTGCACTCAGTATCCAAATTTAATCTCTTGTCAACACTGGACAGCACTCCCAGGGACAAAACACACCAGGCATAACAGACAGAACACTGCGAAAAGGTAGGAAATGTATGCAAAGGCTCAAGCATATGTCCTCAGGACACTCGGACATGATCCCATAACACTTTTTTTCCCCTTGGGCTTCTCTGATGCTATAATTTGCCCATACCTGAATGGTGCTTCTTTCCGAAATCGCTCTCTGAATCTGTGCTGCTCAACATCAAATGCCGCACAGCTCTTGCGCAGAACTGTCATTTCGTTTGCCTGCAGAGGAGCCACATGCTGTTTCACAGCTATTGCCAGCTTCTTTATAGTGTTCCATTTTTCTGGCAGTTCCTGCAAGCAAAATTTAAATGCTGGTAAGCAGTATTTGATATTTGATATAAGATGTATCTGATCTGTTTATGGATAATCACAGAACAGGAAAAGCAACAGATTCCATGTCTAAACTGTAAGGAAGTTTTGTTGTGATGCAAAGGCTAAACACAATTTGGGATAAAACTTACCAGTTATTCACAAACTTGAAGACTAATGAAGACTAAGACCTTGTAGCTGACTGCTCTGATTGTAAAAACACGTTCAATAACTTCAGAAGAAGGGTCCCAGACTAGCTCTTGGGCTCCCAGGATGGTTGAATGCTTGAGAGAGAACAGCGATCCTAACACCAAGCCCAGAGGGACCTGGAGCCTGCTGGGAGAGGCTGAAGGCAGGAAGATGAGCTGCAGATGCAAGCTCATCAGATCATCTGGCTTCCCAGAGCTAATCAAGAAACAGAGCCTGGGAAATTTCCTGCCAGCTCTTAGAGCAGATGTTATTATACCAGAAGGACTTCTAGAGAGCTCTCTGGGGCAAATCCCTCCAGCCTGTGTATATAATATTAGTACTAAATAAGACTGGTTTCTTTCTCAGGTCTGCATCCAAGCTGCAAGTGCGCAGCACTGCTGACAATCCACCCTCTATACCTGGCGTTTTCTTCAGAAAGGGATTTTATTTCTTCTCACTAGGCTTCTTGGGCCATATCCTCAGTCTAAGGAGGATATCAGCCCATCAGACACTGACATCAGCCAAGGGCTCTGCTGTCCTAAGTCCCAGTGCTTTGCTCTCGAAGAGCCCACTTCCCCATTATATTGTGCAAGCCTACAGGGAAGACTTCGGGTTTCTTTTCATCTCAGTTCACATAGTTGAGGAGATTAATGGAGACCCACCAACACTATGGAAAGAAGGGAAATAACCTGGAGGCAGCTCTGAGGCAGAAGAGATAGCCAGAGCAGAGCCAGTCCCTCCTGAGAGGTCTCCTTCTGGCACTTTATATTCCAGTCTCAATGGAAATCACTATCCATGACCACAGCAGGGCACACATGGAGCTGCTTCCTTGTCCTTCGCATACAAACTACCAGCTCCAGCCCATCCATCTCTATGGCCATGGAGGGAGCAGTACCTAGAGAAACTTACTTCTGGTTTTCCCACCATATATAGGAGTGAATGAATCATTCAACGATGTGTTGCTGTCACTTGCCAGGAAGAACAAAACTGTTTTGTTATCTCCTGCATCTGAATGGCTGCCCCACATCGCTCATTTCTTCTATCAGAAAAATAAATCAGTTGTTTGAATGTACTTGCACAAACAGGCACCAAACAAGCAGCTCTCGGGCAGAGGAATTAGCAGAGCTCGGTTCCCTGCAGCACGATGTTTTATGCTAGACTGAAGCTGTTGCAGCAGCCAGAGCATCCATGTAATGCAGCTCTCCTGGTTTTCAGGGAGTCTGTAGGAACCTAGGTATCTTTAGGAGCCTTAACTATTACAGATTTGGTGACCCAACCACCCATGGATCACAGTTGCACAAGCAGAAACCAGGGGATCACTAAACTCCACTCAGCTCCCATCCAAGCCTGCAGCAGAGAACTGGAGCCTTTACTGCACAGGTGCGTAAGACAGGAACATCTCCCCAGAAGGTCCTGCTTTAAACCTTGTGTCCTACACAGACCCCTCTGCCCACAGCACCCCATGACTATAGGGTATCCATCAGCACATAGCCACACACTTCTCCACTGTAACATCTTAGCTGTTGCCAGTGCTTGTCTCCTGTTCCCCAAGGCTGGCTGGGCACCTCACAGTCTTTTCTAACCTGCACCTCATGGTCCCCTTTCCAGAAATGAAAAGAATTCCCAAAAGAAAACTGATTCATCAGAGCCAGATGTGGAAAGGTGCCAAAATACTTTCAAAACCTGCTCCCAGTGATGTCCTCTGGATCGAACAGATTTGGTGTCACAGACCCAGCAGAGGACTGAATTCTTATGAGAAGACAACTCCTCTGCCAACATTATCCTTCCCATCTCCACAGTTGCCAAGAACAGGCTTATTTAAAAATAATTATAATTCAACCTAATTAACAGATGTATTTAAAAATGCATTTATTTTTTTCAAGAGTAATCGCTGGGAGTTGGAGCAGGCATTCTATGTTTTTCATACATAACAAAAGGCTTAATCTCTGCTTTAAAAGAAAAATGTCAATATAACTCCAAAATCTGGAGCTATTAAGGCACATCCCACAACAGCAACATACTATCCACTGAGGCCCTCTAATGACAGGGTGTGGGGTCTTAAATATTCCTGCAATTCTCTTAAGCTCACACTCTCTTTGACATCTACTACGAGGCAAATTGCTGTGTCCACTACAAGTTTTGACCCACCTCCAGGTACTTATAGACTTCCTCTGGCAGTTGTTGCTCATATGTCTTCAGCAGTTCGATGGTTTGCTTCAGGGGCTCAAACATGGCATCGGTGACATTGTGCCTTTCTTTAACGGCCAGGAGATGACCCATTATCTCCACCAAGCCATCATAATCGCCTTTTTCAACCTTTTTGCTCAAACCTTTATGGGCAGTTTTTATGAACTCATCAAGGTCAGCCAAGCTATATAACACAAAGCAGGAAAGCACAAAATGAGAGCAGTTCCTATTGAAATAATTATCAGCCTTATGGAAGGCAGCTGGACTGGCATGGACAGGGGAAAGGCCTGGCTAACCCTGTCCATTACATGGCAACATGCTAAGGGAATCAGAACCACAATTCATGTTCAAAGGGATCCATAGATGTGGTACAGCTTCCTGCAAGGAACAGATAGTTTGGGACTTCTCAGGCTGGAGAGAAGGTATTTAAGGAGTATGACTGAATCACAGAATCATAGAATCGTTTAGGTTGGAAAAGAC